GAAGAAATCTGTAGTTGCAACTGGTAAGCCATTGTTGAATAGAGTGTCACAGAATAGAGTTGCTGCTTCAGAGTGCAGTTCTGACCCTACAAGTTTACAAGGTGTTACTAGTCAGAGTGAAGTTATAAAAACTTTTATGATTTGCGAGGAGGAACGAAAACTGTCTACTTCTGTTATTAAAGAGTTTGAAAATGATGAAGTTGACGGTAAAGGGAATATTCGTGATAATGATCATGATACTTCACAGTTGTCTTTGGTTGATCATGATGAGATGAGGGATATGCCTACTACTGCTAAGTTAAATAAAGGTTCTGTACAACTACAACGTGAAGTAGAATTGAACGCAGATGCAGTTCCAAAGGTGTGAATATTTGTGAGACCGTCAGTGTGAGTGATCAGCATGTAGCCCACCTATCATCAGATGCTAGTGCTAAACCTGAGCTGATAGCAAAAGACAGCGCGTCGGTGGCACAGTGGTTAGGACTCTCGCCGACTATGCACATGGTTCGGGGTTCGAGCCCTCGCCGACGCACACCTGATATCTATGGTTGGCCTGCGAATTTTGGGCTACCGATATCCACGCTGAAAATTCCACACTTGTACCAAAAATACGGTGTGGAGTCAAGCTGTAACCATAAAAAAAAATAAAGACAGCAGTGGTGGTAATCTTGCAGTTGGACAACTATCTGAGAGCCGAACAAGAACAGCTTCTGATCCACCACTAAGTTCATCACCTTGTGTCACTCAGTCATCGTTGGTGCTGTCATCCACAATGAAACAGACACCCATCAACTCAAGTATCTTGTGCAATGACTATGGTAGTATCAGTTCGTTTGAAAGGACGAATATCAATGGTCAGTTTAGTGTGGATAAGCCAAGTGTAAAGGAGAGAGTAATTGTTAAATTGACTTGCACGAATAAAGGCATTTCTAGTTTCAAGTTACTATTTGAATGTTATTATCTTTGGTGTAAATTACTCTGTTTCTACACTTGGTTGATGAGATACGTCGTGTGTTTGTTGGTCATCTATATTCTACGATACAATGACATGGGCGTGTTGCCGTTCAGATTTGAGGATATAGCTGATAGAAGGAAGTCAGCAAATGAACTCTGCGACGATTTTCCAACCTAGGGCGTCAACCTGAGAAGGGTTGTAGGCGTACTGCTGTAAGTCCTACAGTTCTTCAAAGGGTAGCGCATCAATGAGCAGTCCAATGTGCTTGGTGTATGATCTTGTACATATGTTCATATTGTATATACTGAATTGATATCATCTGTCATCTAGCTGTTGGTAATTCTGTTTGTGTCCGGACGACTTCCACTTGGATCATCAACCTGAGAAGGAATGTAGGCGTACTGCTGTAAGTCCTACAGTTCTTCAAGGGTAGTCTGTCGTGTCAGAATCCACAACATTTGATGTGTTGATTGTACATATGTTTGTGTTAAATAGTTGTGTGAGTTCCAATTATTGTAATTGTTGGTTAATCTTGTTTGTGTCCGTACATTCCACAACTTACAATCGTCAACTTGAGATGGGTTGTAGGCGTACTGGTGTAAGTCCTCCAATTCTTCAAAATAATTCCACCAAGACATGATCCGCGAGGTTATTTGTACTGTTTGTGTATACGTGTGGTGTGTCTTCGCAATTTGTGATTTTGGATCAGTTGTGTTTACTCGTTGTTTTCGTGCCTTGTTTTTATTGCATAATTTTGTTAAAATTTTCGTCGTGATTACTTCTGAAGTTGTTTCTTGTCTTCTACATCCATGAATGAATTGATTGATGTTAGAGACAGCAGATGGGTCGTATACGCCGGGGAGGCTAGGCTATTGCTGAGAATGAAATACACACGGAGATAATTGTTAGCTGCGGTCCGACACGCCGGGGAGAAAGAGTGTAAACGACTGAGGCTCGCATGCGTCACCGCTACTAGAACTGAGGCAGAATGAGTGACAAGCGATTTCAATGGTAATTGGTAGTGAGTAGATAAGAGGATGAGTGTAGAGTATCGTGAGGTGCTGCCATGGTCACGTTGCATTCTGCAAGAGTCATTCTAGCAAATGGCGATTGTGTTGCAAGATGTCAAGAGGAGGTCTCTGTCTGGAGGCGCAGGTCGTCAGCGATGTGTGAGATTGTGCTGTGAGTATGCTTGTGGTGTGTTGGCTTTTCTGTTTGTTTTCCATTTCAGCTCTGTCCGTGTGACCCAGGTTCTCGCAATGGCATCCAAGTCAACGTGTATTGGTCGTGATGGAAAAAAGGGTTGGATCCCTTTTCTGCCGGGGAGTGTCAATGGAGTTGAAGATTGAACGATCAATTCTTGGTTGTTTGCTTAAAATCAACTTCCCCAATTTTCGCGGAGGCATCAATACGACAGTCATCGTCTCATCGGTCGCTGTTCAGAAAGAAGAGTGAAACATCGTCAGAAGTAATCTTATGATTTATTATTGTAATATTTGTTTTCAGACCTTAGTTGGTTTATTCCTTTTATATGTTGGTGTAACAATAAAGAAATAACAAGCGGCAGATCGGTGTTTTGGTTTTTTCGTCCGTTATAACTAAGCGTTTCTGAAAACTCAAAGGAACAGCGTGGGCCCGAGCGTAGCGAGAGCTGGGCATTAACGGTTTATGAGACGTGATTGACAAGCATAGTTATAGCATAAGACACGTGAGTTCATGGACATCGATTTCATTGTGGATGACTCCCGCGAAAAATATGGAGGAGTTGGGTTTGAGGAAACAACCATGAATTGATCGTTCAGTCTTCAACTACATTGCAACGTTTACTTGAAAATGGTATTCGTAATATGTAGCCTAATAATTGATCCACAATCCCCGGAATGTCTAGTGAACATTGTTTTGTGAACCGACAAATATGGATATGGGCAATAACACGAATCTCAACAGAAGTTATTTGGACGGCAGCCACAGGCATTAACACTAATCATATTAGACGCAACTTGAAAAATTTTCATGAACCACATGGTAATAATTTATATTTCCTACAACCTGGTAAGTTTACAAGAAATGCATGCCATCTTTGTAGGCACAACCACTTATTTTATAAATTACAATCATGAAGTATCATAAATTGATACTTTTTCAAAAGTTTAAATTGCTCGATTATTGTACAAGCAATCAGAACAGGTTCTTATAAATTTTAAGTTGTAAACCCTTCGCTAAGTTGAGCGACGACCCAAACTTCCTTCCGTTTCCTGGTGATAGCTATGGTCAACCATTAAACTGCCTATATTTTGGTAATTGATATGCCACCACGTCGCTAAAAACCATTTCAGGAAGAGAAGAACGTCCTGGGCAGCTGCAAAATGGTATAAAATACAATTATGGATAATACATCATTGGAAGTACATTAGCAAGTTTTATAGAAGAAGGAGGTATAGACTCCCTAGGATGGTAGTATAAATTTGCAATGTTTAATGCTAACGATACTGGTTTAAGCATGGAATCTATGATGTTTTGAATGAAAATATAGCTTTGTTCAAATATTGGTGTTGTTGTGTTTTGAATCAGGGCAAACAGACTTTAAGGAAGCAACAAATATGAACAAAAGCAAGTTTTAGCTTTAATAAAGGCCTTGGTAGTTAAGATTAAATGGAGTATAATAGTGCGTAGATAAAGAGACTATAATGAAGCGTATAAGTCGTAATTCAGTGAGGAGTGAACTCAAAGATCTGGAAGACTATAACCCGCCAGACGAGCCGACTTGTAAGATGTCTCACGAATTTCTGTAGGACCAATAGTGTAGAATCTTGACAAGAAGCTAAGCAGCCTTGTAGATTGTAGGAGCAAACGCATTGTTTTTATAAGTTGGATCTGTACAACCCTTATTTACTAAAGATACTCTGAAGTTTTAGTTCTGGAGCTGTCAAAAAACGCACGTTGCTGTCCCACAGATTGGGGCGATTCACATTTGTGACGACTATCATATCTGCTGATCAATATGCGCCACCTTCCTTCCCTTTTTTTTTTGATTTACAGCTTGATTCCACACTGTATTTTTGGTACAAGTATGGAATTTTCAGCATGGATATCGGTAGCCCAAATTTTGCAGGCCGACCATAGATATCAGGTGTGCGTCGGTGCGGGCTCGAACCCCGGACCATGTGCATGGTCGGCGAGAGTCCTAACCACTGTGCCACCGACGCACAGATGTTTTGCAATAACTGTAGTCGTGCCTTGCTTTCAGCCCGCCTCAATCATACAGTTGACTGCAAATTAAGGCTTTCATGAAAAGTGCCTCCCATTAGGTCACCAGATACATCGAAACGTATATTTGTTACAAATGATTGGTAAATGAAGTTTCCCTTAACAATCTATAAACTTTCAACTTACAGCAATTCCAAACTGACGTACAGTGAAAAGAAGCATCTACATCATAAGTGGTGTTCTCCATAGAAGGTTCTGTTAGTATTTGCTGGTGATTTCCATGTGCTGACAAGTTTCCCTTGTGAAATAACGCTGCTTTACATGAAAATAGGCTGTATTGATATCCTGAGACACGTGAAGTCACCATAAGACTGCAGTTTGTCAAAAAGTTCGCCTTCTCCATAAAGTAAACTAATCAAGTAATTGGATATACCAGCCAGTTATTCCCTCCTGATCCAAATCGCACTCCACCACATGGACTTTTATCAGAATCAGATTCATATTATTAGGATAGGAGGTTCTCATTGCTTATTTCACTCCATGCGATATATATCTCTGCACAGATCTTACTTTTCTTTGAAAGCGTTTACCGATGGAGCTGTTACTACTGAATCAGGCAAGGAGTTCCAGTTGCTGACTAGTCTGTGAGAGAATCTAAATCCCACACGTATTTTATTCGACCTCGGTTTGAGCACCTTCTTTTGATTACCTTCTTTAAAGTTCTCCAGGTATCCTGGCTAAGCGTTGAAACTAGCTGTCTCAGTGAAACTAACTGATATATAAACTTACTTTATATTGAGCTTGCTTTTATTAATTTACCGAATTCTGTCTAGGTCGTGGCGGTCTGCACGTGAAGGACATCTGGTCTGGTTTTATTGGCGGGCTGGGGAAGTATCTCGGTGATTTCTGCTTACCGTTAACTATCAACTTTGTTGTTTCACCCGATATTTTAATTTATCATTGAATCAAGACTGCGATTGGTATTTACCATATTTTAAAAAGTTTCACCTAATTATACACCAGTTATCAATATATTCTCCATGGGTCCGACAATATTTGAGGATTTAGCGTCGCATGTGAGAGTTCCTAATGATGGAGATAAGGTTTTCAAAGATGAATGTCCCTTCTACTTTGAAACACCTGAGATGGAAAATGGAGTTTATATTTGTATGCGTCACTTTGTTGCTATTGGCTCCAAAATATTGAGACTGTACCACGAAAAGACTGGTTGTCGTGCATTCTTACGGTACAAAATTGAGAAGCAATACAAAGAAAAAGGTACGTGCTAATTTGCATTCAGTATTTACTCCCAATTATAAGTTCTAAGTTCGTTTTATCTTATATGAACGTGGTATGGCAGTTACTTCCGTTTCCCAGTAGACTGAAGTTATTCGTGTATGTCGCATGATAAATCAATCAGGAAAACTTCATTTAGTTGTTGTAAACAATATTTTTGTGTCACTTCCACCCTGGTAATAAACGCGGCACTCGACTGTAGCCCTCTGCGCCTACATCTATCGAAGTAAATTATAGATGAAATGTCAGACATGATTTGTTATAACTTTAAACAATTGCAACCCACGTATTTTCACATCTGAATAAGAGGTCTGTTACATGTGATAAGTAACACAACACAGCAGTTTAAGCTAGAAACTGATTAACGTATTTAAGGTTAGACGAGGCGACACACTGGTAACTTTCCTGGAATGAACTTAATTCATTATCTTCTTTTAATGCCTGTTTTTAATACTTTCAGCAAATTATCTTAAGTTCTATACATATTGTGTTTAGTCCTTCATTTTATATAAGACGCCAAGAGATTAATTTATGTTTTGAGGAATAAATCTTTGCAGATGTAGTGCAAGGTTACTATTAATCTAGTGAGACTCGCCTTTGTTTTCAATATTCAGCTGGTGCAACTTACTAATAAATAGTAATACATTTACACAGCATTGCTGCTCAGCAGTCCACTCCGTCCTCCTCTGTGGCTGTGGGACCTGGCCATTGAGTGGAAGACATGAAAAGATTAGTTGTCTTTGATGATAGGTGCCTGCGCTCTATCTCCCGTATGAAGTGGTATAATAAGGTGAGGAATATTGAAGTTAGGTGTCGGTCGAGTGGTAGGTGAGTTGGAGGGTAAATCAATCGACAAGTTTGTGAAATTACATCGACTGAGATGGTTAGGACATGTGTTACGTATGCCTGGTCATCGCCTCATCGACGGGCAATGTTAGCTGATAGAGGGTCAGTCTGGAAAAGAGCTAGCGGTGGTCAAAACAAAACATGGCACCAGTCAATGAAATCTACAACACTTAGTTTAAGCTAGCCACGTAGGAAGGTGTAGACTTCCTGACTGGTTTGGGTCTCGGGACGGTAAAAACCAACGGTTGGAAACAATTGGTGATACGGCTCAAACTCATTGTTCTCAATAGCTAGTGCAGATGCATTCACTCCCTGTGACTTATGATTTCCAATGAAACTTTTTTGTTCTTCGATATTGGTATTCCTTTGTCTCACATCTCTGTGTACTGTCTGTATTATGCATTTCTTCTACCTTCTCTTGCTTTGTGTGGTACAAGGAGGGAGTGTGGCGACTTGAACTGTCGCGCATCAGTGCAAAGTTCTATGTCGAAAACAGACAGACAGACAGATACATCATTGAACAAACATTGGGGTATTATATTTTACTCTGAATCTGTAGAGGGTTAGTTTAGGTAGTCAACTTGAAATTAGTCTAGGTACATGAGTTTGTATCCCAGTCAACTTTATTTGTCTTGGGTAGCCAGGTCAACCTTCATAGAACAGGTGTGCATTACCAAGTTTATGAACATATATAAGATTATTGAGGAACGTTTTCCTTCTTGTTGTTTACTATCATGGACTCTGAAATGCACCGATTTTTTTTCTTAACACTGAATTCACTATAAAATGTATTTATCGTATTTACTCATTCATCGGCTTATTTTTTATTTTTTAGAGCATGGCACTCAAGAAAAACCTAAAAAACTTGCTATTGGTGTTTCTGGGGGTTTCGATTTGCCTCAAGATGTTTACACAGTAACAGAACACTGGTCGTTAGTTCGTCTTCCAGAAGGTGACTCTTTTGAAATTCCAAATCCAGAGCCCAGTCAATCATCAACTGATACATCACACTTGAAGATTTTAGATCTTCCTAAGCGTTTGGCTACTACTATTGCATTCATTCAACGCGCGGAATCATCACTACTGGCAGAAGAGCGTGCTAATTCACTTAAAGCATGGGAAGATGACAATATTTGTTTGATTTCTTCTTACGCAATGAATTTAGTACAAATTGACAACGGTATCAGAATACCTCCATCGTGAGTTAATATTGTCTAATTATTGAGATGTTTTTAAGTTTAAAGATGAAAATGGAGTGATCCTATATTTTATTATGAACAACATATAACATTCTGAGTATTATTGTTCATTATATGTGTAATTATGTATTTGTATATGTTATGTACTCGTCGAGTAGTTAATAGTCCTGACGCGGAAAGAGGGAAATCAGAAGACCACCAGGTTTACGATGATACTTGTATTTTCCAGACAATGAAAATAAATGTCACAAGAGTGTGAGTGAAATGGTACGTAATGTACGAAACGTGGGAACAGGAATAAACAAGAATAATAAAGTGTACAATTCAAAAGTATATATAAAAATGGCTACTACACATGAACCAATAAGATGACGTCTTACCATGATTGGTTGTAATGTCATGTGATAATAAGGTCATACATTGTTTATTTAAGTTAGTGGACAGATAAAAGCATAATGTCAGTTATAATGGAATATAGATCCATATACTCATAGCAAAATATAACACTGTCAAAAACAAAACACATATCATGTGGATACATATCAGTATACATGCATCACTTGGTGTGTGGGCTGGCAAAAGTTCCACTAGTCTCCTTACGGATGTTTTCTTGAACATTCTTCTAAAACTTCGAGGTTTCTGCGTAGTCATATCTAGTGTTAATTGTCTTAAGGGCTTTTACATGCCTTGTAAGACAGTATTAATGCTCGATTGGAAATGCAACTTACTGGCCTAAACACTAAGCCCTTGGCTGGAATCCTGGTTGTCACCTACAGCGACTGACTGGTATAATCAGCCATCAAAATATGTGTGGCTTTCAGTTTGGTAGATGAGAAATCTCTTTCCAGCTACTGAGTTCCGTTGACATGAGAATGGAGTTTGAGCACTGTGGCACTCAAATTGCTATTAGCTTGAAGGGGTGAGGTAGCAATAAAGTTTATTCTGGACGACCAGAAATCTATCTATGCTGCCTTATTTCTCTAAGGAGGAAGAGTTAGAAAAGATAGACCTCATAAATTGTAAATTCAAACTTTACAGGGGACGCACCAAATTGTGAATTGACAGAAGTTAGAATTCATAGGCCATTGGATCGGGTCCCAGTAGCTTAATGATATACGAGCTCGCCTTGTAACCAGAAGGTCCTGGGTTTGAACCCTGCAGTGTGGGTGCGTACTGCTGAAGAGTCCTAAACTAGGATGATACAGCTGTCCAGTACTCCCAGGTTTTCCAATGCTTCTCTAACTAATGTCAGCTCATTATGAAATCTTGCAATCAAACTTTACAGGCCATAAAATCCTATTTTTGGATCAAATTTCGAGAATCCTAACACATACCATCCTGATATCCTTTCTTTCCTGAAATTTCATCACCATTTCCGCCTGCTAATGCGCTTCCCCATAGTTCTAACATCTCATTCTGTGGCCGTTGTTATCTAGTCTATTCCAGGAGGGAAAAGGCTCAAATGTAGTCACATTAACAGGTGGTTTTACTACTAAGGTAAGGAAAGTGTGTTAATTGGGAAAACCATACTGGAGAAGTTTACGGTATCCGATGCTAACGGACTTGGCAGCGGTGATTATCTCTTGCAATTTCGTTCAGATAATTTATTTTTAATGAGCACGAGAGTTTCAAATGGAAACAACAGACCACTCCAGCAGTGTTAACATCAGTTACCGATAAAAAGGATCAATTGGAGATTAACGTTTCTTCTGGAACACCTGTGTTTACTTTAACCTTGTGTTAGTCTGTGCATATTTGTGTCTATGCAAACGGGAAAGAAACAAGAAAATATAACTTCCAGTTCTTTAATAAATTAAATGAGAAATTGGATACCTAAAGAGGCGTTAACTGAACATTCATCTGAGTGTATGACAGTGGTATTCATCCTAAAGAAGTTTGATAGCTTTTTACCAGAGGTTAGCAAATGACTGACTGACCGTTTCAACATAGAACTTTGCACAGATGTGCAGCATTTCAAGTTGCCACACTCCATATAGCATACAAAGCAAGAGAAGTAAGTGGAAAGGAATGCAAAGTAGAGACAGTAAACAGGGATATTAGGCAAAAAGAATAGTAATATTGAAGAATAATATAGTTTTCATTGGGTATTATTGGTCTCCATCCACTGATTTTTACCGTCCCGAGGACCTCAACCAGTCAGGAAGTCTATACCTCCCTACGCAGTTGGCTTAAACTAACTGTTTTGGATTTCATTAATTGAGGAAGCCATGTTTTCGTTTGACCATCACTAGCTATCTCTTTTCCAACCTCATCCATCCTATGTCAGCTAACATTGCCCACTGTCGAAGGAGGCGATAGCAAGGCATCCGTAACACACGTCCCAACGATCTCAATCGATATAACTTAACAGCTTCGTCGATTGATTTCCCCTCCAACTCACCTAGCACTCGACCGAAGCCCAACCTCCATATTGCTCACTCTATTATACCATTTCACACGGGAGATAGAACGCAAGCACCTATAATCAAAGACAGCTAGCCAGGCATTTTATGTCTTCTACTTTCAGTGGCCAGGTCTCACAGCCAGCCATAAGGGAAAACGGAGCGGACTACTGAGTAGTACAGACACCTTTTGGTCGATAGCCAGTCGGATATCACGTCTACTAAGCCAGAGACGGCGTAAACTAGTATATGCGGAACTAGCCTTATGTATCCGTGTTGAGATTTCGTCAGCAATCAACCCGTTGGCATTTGGCTGGTGCAACTTCCCAAATAAGTGAAATGGTCGATGAGGTTAGTTAATCATCGAGTCCCTCTTAACTCATTCAGAGTGATTCTTTAAAGTGACTGGTTACAGTGGACCTCGAAGATGACGAGAAGCAACATTTGTTTGAACCTAAACTGCCTAAAAGTTTTCATAAAGACCAGAAACAGTGATAGCTGATGAAAGCAAAAAAAGAGGCGGGAAAGGCTTTTGATCAAGAAGGTAATACCCATCAACTATTTTGGTCCTAAGAAAGTTATACCATATGAGAACATCTTCAGACAGTATTATCACAGTCCTTCACTTGTTTATACTTGTTCATAACTGCATTTTTAACCGTTGTACTTTCTTGATGTGTACTAATTGATGCATGTGTATATGAAGTTCTACATTAATATTAGCCAGTTAGTTTTGTTTACGAATACTGAAGAAAACAGGTTACTCAATCAGCGAATAGTGTGAACAAATAGGCGAAAGCCGAACAGATAAACTGCATAAAACGACTGGAATCAAAACATCAGCTTATCTTAATGTGAGGTGTTTCATTTGAAAATGAGTGTGAAACCACTAGGCATGGAAAAAAGTAAAATAGGTGACCAATATTAAAACGATTTTGCTTATTAGGTAATGTAAAGACTGCAATAGCACCCAGCTACCCCAGTTTTAGTTCCTTTGGTGCCTGTGACCTATTGATTAACAGTTGAATGCCTACGTCTTTGAACTGCAGTTCTCTATTCGCAACTTGGCCATCTGAAGTTTACACTTTTTTTAAAATTTGCCTAGAAACAATGATACGGTGGATTGAAATGTTTAGCTGTGTGATTTTATTCTCATACTATTGTATCCTAAAGTTGTGGCTCACTGGTCACTGGTCTTGGTGGTCGATTTCCAGTCATTGGGTAACGGGTTCGAACCCTGCCCCACTTATTGAATGCATGCAACTGGCTATTGATTAAAATTTCTTTTGTAGTCGAGAGGTGACTCACGTATGTACTTAATCTGCTTTCAACTAGTGGGTCTGAGTTTCATGTCTCACTCCAGTTAATTCAGCCTAGGCAACTGGTTAGTATTATCAACCCTTATGCAACTTATGTGGCTCATGACCTGGATCATGAAATACATTACAGTCTTATATCTCTCAATGTAATTTCAAAAGTATATATGTCTGTGTATGTAGAGTATTCAGCTGACGGGTAACTACATGACTTCGAAAATCGGTTTCTGTAGTTCTCTTTCTACTATCACATTTGTCGTAGTAGAATTTTCCAGATGTCCAGGTGGACAGGTATTGAATCATTCCTACTGTACACATTCTCATATTTGGTCCTATATATTTTTAAGCTTCCGTTACCAATCTTTTCCCTCAACCCTGTTATACTAGATCTTAAGACTCATGGTATGTTGTATTTATGTTGTATGGTTGTGTGTAAAGTTGCATTTTGTGCTATAGCTGAACTATTTCCTAGCTTTCTTACATAATTTGCGGGGGCTAATCTAGAATTTGTTCACTTTAAGTGCTCTGCTAGTCTGATTGACTCTATCCTACTACTCTGACCTGTGCATCTGACTTGTCATTCGTTGCAAGGTACTAGATAAATTAAATAATTTTGTTTAATCGGTCTCACAATGTCCTTTAACCGACCCAATTTGTTTCTAAAGGATCTCTCATATTCTCTCTCCCCTTATCTATTTGAACATGACCTGGAAAACAGTCGCACGTGTCTTTCTGCATGATTAATTCAGTGTAGTTTGTTTACTTATCAGTCTTATATCTCCCAATGTAATTTCAAAAGTATATATATCCGTGTATGTAGAGTATTCAGCTGACGAGTTCTACCGAAATTTGATGAATTCATTAAATTCTGCTTTATTAACCTTTATTGCTTGTTCTAAAGGAGTTCGTGGTTTCAATTGCCCTTTTTATGCCTTTACGTTGTTAAGAATTCTACGTCAGGTTTCCAGAGGTCCCCTCCTCCTTTTATAGAAGTACTACTGGTTTTTAAATTCCCTATTGGTGATGTCGTCATTGTTATTGTTAGTATCACTTGATTTTATTCCTACAATTTTCTACGACAAGTGGAAAGGAAACTATAGTTGACGATATATTTATGTGAACACCAAATTGTGCACGAAACTTCGTCATTCTATGCGTGTGGTACGTTCAATCAACAAATTGATATGGAGTTGTGTACTAAATACCACAGCGCCCAAGTTTTCCACATATGCTAATGAGTTCAAGAATACTTTCGCGTCTGACAAACATTCAAATGAAGTCTTCTTTTTAGGTTGCACACCTTGATTTACCATCTGCGCGAATGTTTGGCATGCGATTGGCTTCTGTCAGTCAAATGTAAGATGATGCTACAGGAATGGACTACATCGACTCACTCCTAGCTTAGAAATGGGGGTGAAGTGGTTGGTGACATGGCTCAAAATCGTTCTCAGTGGCGCAGATGCATCCACTCTCTGTGACTTATGATCTTCAATGAAACTGTTTTGTATTTCTTTATTACTCCTTTGTCTCACACCTCTGCTCACTGTCTCTATTATGCTTTTCTTGTACTTTCTTCTCTTGCTTCGCGTGCTACACGGAATGTGGCGACTTGAACTTCCGCACATTTGTGCAAAGTTCTATGTCGAAAACAGACAGACAGACAGAAGTGGTCGGTTGAGTGCGTTGACCGCTTCACTTATTTGGGAAGTTGCACCAGCCAAATGCCAACGGGTTGATTGCTGACGAAATCTCAACACGGATACAGAAGGCTAGCTTCACATATGCCACTTTACACCGTCTCTGGTGTAGACATGATATCCAGCTGGCTATCGACCAAAAGGTGTCTGTACTACTCAGTAGTCCGCTCCGTTTTCCCTTATGGCTGGCTGTGAGACCTGGCCACTGAAAGTAGAAGACATAAAATGCCTGGTTATCTGTCTTTGATTATAGGTGCCTGCATTCTATCTCCCGTGTGAAATGGTATAATAGAGTGAGCAATATGGAGGTTGGGCTTCGGTCGAGTGCTAGGTGAGTTGGAGGGGAAATCAATAGACGAAGCTGTTAAGTTATATCGATTGAGATCGTTGGGACGTGTGTTAGGCATGCCTTGCCATCGCCTCCTTCGACAGTGGGCAATGTTAGCTGACATAGGATGGATGAGGTTGGAAAAGAGATAGCTAGTGATGGTCAAACGAAAACATGGCTTCCTCAATTAATGAAATCCAAAACAGTTAGCTTAAGATTGCCTGCCACGTAGGGAGGTGTAGACTTCCTGACTGGTTGGGGTCCTCGGGACGGTAGAAACCAATGAAGGATAGGGACAATTGGTGATATAGCTTAAACTCATTGTTGTCAATGGCTGGTGCAGATGCATCCACTCCTTGTCACTTATAATTTCCAATAAACTATATTGTTCTTCGTTATTACTATTCCTTTTTGCCTCATATCTCTGTTTACTGTCTCTATTTTGCATTTCTTTTTACTTTTTTTTCTTCTCTGGCTTTGTGTGCTGACTGAAGTGCGACTTTTTAGGTAGACTACAATACTGTGGTTTCTTTCTGTGTTGTTTAACTACTGTGTACACAATAATTAATCTATCAAATCATTTCCACATCCTTATTTTTCTCTTTTTTTCTATGATTGATAAATGAACGCTCGTTTAGTGGATGGAAATGCTCAAGATGTGATTTAAAGGACAATCTATGGATGAATCTTACTGACGGGGCTATCCTGTGCGGTCGAAGATTTTGGGATGGTACCGGTGGAAATAATCATGCAGTGGAGCATTATGAAAAGACCAAATATCCATTAGCTGTAAAATTGGGAACAATAACACCTAAAGTAAGTATTAATAATAATCATAATAATAATAATTGAATTATGTCGAGTCCTTGTAAACTGTTATGTGTGTACAATGTGATCATTATTAAGTTAAGTGGCATCACAGCCCCTTTTGTTGGGCCTTGCTTGCGGTGTTAGATTCGGTGAAATTTTATATTTGACACTAAAATATTGCATTGAGGACAGACCTTTATTATTATTATTGTTCCTTTGGGTTCCAAGTGGAACAGTGGGCTTCAGCAGCGCATCTCCATTTTGTTCTATTCTCTGCCGTGCCCTCCACCTGGTCTTACGATTGTCCATAAGCATTCATCCCCTCCTCACATGATCTCCTCCATGTTACCCTGGAACGACCCACTTCTCGCTTCCCATTTGGACTGCACTCAAGGATTTGCCTGGTGAGCGATGTCATTCGAAGGTATTCTCAGCGTGTAGCCAATCCATCTACATTTTCTCCTACATGTTTGTTGAGCGATCGGCTCTTGGTTTGTTCGTTCTCATAGCTTCATGTTGCTAATTCCTTCTGGCCATTTAATAATCAATATGAACCAGCGAAGTGGACAGCTGTTGATAAAAGTCTGTAACAGGCTGTTGGAAATGCTTTCCGTGACCCAAGAACCAAGTTTCTCACCTATATAGAAGAACTAACTGACTTCATATTTGTGTTGAATAGAATTTGAGTCATGTTCTTTATGCTGTGGAGTGCAGACGATTTCCAAACTGACCTCAGATTGATGGTGTTTCTTGCTTTCCGAATTAGGCTTTGACATCTTCATCCGTGCTGTCCGACTGCCTGTGGTTGGAACGGTGCTTTCTAGCCAGATAAGTGAAGGAAGTAATCTCTGTCAAATCCCTCCCTTTCATGGTGATTGGTGCTGGTTGTTGTTATTGTTGTTTTTTTAGTCGGTTGGCTGGTTACCTTCATCACCTCCGTCTTCTCTATGTTCACATGGAGTCCTGTCTTCTCTGCCTCCTCAGCCAATTTATTGGTCTTCATCTGTAAGTCTTCGAGTTTGTGTGTCATTGAACATACATCACATCCGCGAAATGCATATCTTCTAAAGTCTTCTCATCGGTCAGCGTAGTGTATTCCTGTCTTCTCACTCCACACACACACACTGTCTTCGCATAATCCAGTCCACCATAGCTAGGAATATCATCGGTGATAATAAGCAACCAGCCTTGTCTTACTCCTGTATTTACTACTTCAAAGGCTTCCCTGAGTTATCCGTTGTGGATGATTTCCTAACATGTGGCCGTTGAATGAGGTCGATAATGACTTGCGCCACTGTACTGCACAGTGTTGAAAGGGTTTCTGTTATGTACTCGTCGCTAAATTATTGTTATGGACTGGTCGAGAAACTAATAGTCCTGACGCGAGAAGGCGGAAATCAGAAGACCACTAGGTTTGCGATGATACTTCTATTGTCCAAACACAAGGAGACGAAAATAAATGGTCTCACACCAAAGTGGTAAGTAAGTAAAGTAAAAGTAGTTCACACAGAATGTGTGAACGAAATATATATATAACAAAATATATATAGCAGACATGTCAAACAACCATATATGGATATATGTCACTAAGCAACGGACTGTCAACAAACACTCATATTATATATAATATAAGGAGAATATACATTGTCAAAGGAGACAAGTTCATACAAGTGAAATGGTCACAGACTAAGCGAGCAAACAGAAAGAGAGACAAACATACACACACACACATAAATATATATATGTGGATACATATCAGTTTCCAAATTACTTCTCGGTCAACGCTGTCGAACGTCTTTTCGAAGTCAATGATATTGAGTCAAAGTTTTGACTGACACTCTGTGCTGTGTTCGATGATGATGATGATGATGATGGTAATGATGATGCGTAGACTTGCCAAACTAGAGACGTTAGGTACTAGTGTCTAATCAAAGTATCCAGTACAGTCCGTACAGGAGGTCAATTGCGAACGCGAATAGCTCAGTGGTAACATCTCAGACTACTGCATCACTGACTGGGTGACGCTGGTTGAAGTCTCAGAAGGGACAGGTACACCTTTGCTAACTGGTGAGTGCCAACAACAAGCACGAAACCTAGGTCGGATTAGGTTTCCTTGCGATTGCCTCCAACCATCTAATATCAGCACTTCAGAGTACAACGTGATGACAAGCCATCTAGTAGCGGCATGGTGACCACATTACAAACTTGACTGATGTGAGAATTCAGTCTGCATTAAACAAAGGACTAGACACATTACACTAGTTACTAAGTAGTGTTCAGTCTAATGGTGGCAATGAGTCAAGAGGCACCACGACCCTTTACTGAACATCTCCTTTTATCGTGTTAGACTCAAGCCCAACATTCAGCTCTAAGACATTGTACTAAGGACAAACCTTTCAAATTTCAGTCTTTTGTGATTTATAAAACTTGGTAGCCGTCGGTTTTTTTGTTGTATGACTGAGATAGGGGACCATGTCTTATATTTCTGTTCAGTTCAATATGTTACTTTATGTGACACTGTGTAAGGCCTTCGACAGCATCGATCGAGAGTTGATTTGGCAACTACTTCGCCACTACGGGGTGCCGCCGACAATTATACATCTCATCCAACAGTTGTACGACAACGCTGCATGCCAAGTAATCCACAACGGGAAACTACGGAATCCTTCGAAGTGAAGACAGGAATAAGACAAGGCTGACTGCCTACTTTCGCCAATGATATTCCTGATTGCAATAGATTGGATAATGCGACAGACAGCGGGCAATGAGGAAACAGGCATAAAATGGATTCACACAAAAAACTTGGAGGATCTGAACCTCACCGATGATGTATTTCTGATTTCCCACAAAGTGGAAGATATGCAAGTGAAAAGCAACAAGTTGGCAGAAGATGCATCAAATATAGGACTTCAAGTGAACATGGATAAAACAGAGGTGATGAAGATTCCTGGCCAACATCAACAGCAACAACAACAACAGACAACAATCAGCCAGAATAAATGGGAGGAGCCTGAAAGAAACAATCTCCTTGACTTACCTGGGAAGCATCGTTTCAACTACAGGCGGAACTGATAAGGATATCAAAGCAAGGATCGGAAAAGCAAGACCAGCTTTCATTGCTCTCAACTTTGCGTGGAAGTTAAAAGCACTCAGCATCTAAAATAAGATCCGGATTTTCAACTCCAATGTGAAGTCAGTTAGTGCTATTTACTGCACGGATCGGAGACTTGACGCCGCGTCATGAAGAGCATCTCAAACAAACTTCAGACCTTCATTAACAGTTGTCTTTGCTCAATACTCAAGATCAGATGGCCGGCCAGAAAATATCAGCAACAGGGATCTCTGGCAATGGGCGAACCATGCAGGAACCGATTCTGCAACGAATAGGCAGGAAGAAATAGAGATGGATTGGCCATACTCTGAGGAAACCATCAAGTGACATCACTAGACAAGCTATTGCTCGAGTGGAACCCGAAAGGGAAGCGGCAAGTTGGCCGTCTAGGTGAGGGTGACATGGAGGAGGTTATGCGAAGAGCAGATCAAAGCATGTGGGCAGATGTGGAGCCAGGTGAAAACGTTGGCAGATAACCGAACGCGATGGAGACGCACGGCTGAAGCCCTATGTTCCTCTAGGAATTAAAGAAAATAATAATGTAATCTCTACCACTGAAACTGAAACATTCATGAAATTCTATACTCTGACTAAACTTTTTGTTGGTCTCCTCTAATCGAGTTACTTAGTTTGTACTATCACATTACCTCTACGTTTAGATTCCCTTATAATGTCAAGGAATATTGTCTTTTAACTCGTTTTGGAATTTAAGGCTGAAAGGAAAATTTATGTTTCCATTGAGAGTTAACTGTTAGATAATGTAACTTTGATAAGCGAATGAAATTCAAGTCAATTTAGACTTCGCAGTCGATTGATTGTGCGTTGGTGGCACAGCGGTAGAATGCTCGCCAACCACGATCCCTGGTCGACGCACTCCTTTACCTCGCTAAGTCAGTAATATGACTGGTAATGAGGAAAGGTTGGGCATGAGGCTGGCTAGCAAACCCATCCTGTAAAAATAAACACCACTGCTACCTCTACCTTGAAGGCACCCTATGTTCCAATGGGAATGTAAAAGAATAATAAACGTCGATTGATTGGACGGAAATATTCAGTCTGTCGCTGCTGACTCCTTTGGTCTATTAGGTAGCGGGTGTACTGCTCATCAGTCCGCTCCGTCCTCCTTTATGGTTGTGAGACCTGGCCACTGAGAGTGGAAGACATGAAAAGACTAGCTGTCTTTGATCATAGGTGCCTGCGTTCTATTTCCCGTGTAAAGTGGCATAATAAGGTGAGCAACATGGAGGTTAGGCGTAGAGTTCTAGGTAAACGGAGGAAATCAATCGACGAAGTCGTGAAGCTACAAAGACTGAGATGGTTAGGACATGTGTTACGTATGCCCGCCAAGCCATCGCCTCCCTCGACGATTGCAATGTTAGTGGATATAGGGTCAGGCTGGAAAAAAGCTAGCGGCGGTCAAACAAAAACTTGGCTTCACCAGTCAATGAAATCCACAACAGTTGGTCTAAGCCACGTAGGAAGGTGTATCCTTCTTGGCTGGATGGGGTCCTCGGGACGGTAAAAATCTATGGTTGGAAACAATTGGTGACATGGCTCAAACTCATCGTTCTCAGTGGCTAGCGCAAATGCATCCACTCCTTGTGACTTATGATCTCCAATGAAACTGTTTTGTTCTTCGTTATTACTCCTTTGTCTCACACCTCTGCTCACTGTCTCTATTATGCTTTTCTTGTATTTTCTTCTCTTGCTTCGCGTGCTACACGGAGTGTGGTGACTTGAACTTCCGCACATTTGTGCAAAGTTCTATGTCGAAAACAGACAGATTAGGTAGCACACTAGCTTTTGAAATGATAGGTGAAATGGGTTCCAGTCTGACTGGGAATACAGGTGTACATCCAGATGATGAGTCCCAAATGGGCATCCTAACCGCCTAATTATTTGAGATTCAAGTATATTAGTAAGGTTTGTCATTAGTTTGTAGACCTAAATTCACTGGGAAAAAGGTTTATGAAAACGGGGAAAATAGTCAGGTTGAACGTAATGTGCACCCTAGGTACCATTGACATTAACTTATGTATGCATTGTGGCTAGATTATAATATATTTAGAGAAAACTAAATCAGAGTCTGTATGTATGTCTGTGGTTCAAGTGGTAGAATGTTTGCCAACCACGGACTGCTTAACCCTCGTCCAGGTGGTATGTAGTAAGCGCGGAAAAAGGAGGAATGTTGGACATGAAGCTAGGAAACTCCATCCCTTGGAAGCAATACCAGCACCGATACTGAAACTTCAAGTCTTCAGACCTGAAACCCTATACGTTTCACTGGGTACTCACAGGTAGAATAAAAATTGGAAAGTTTAATTTAATTAATCGCCACCTCTAATATATTATTTCAAGCATACGAAATGTAGCATTTTCTGAAGGTGTTATTTGTGTGTAACTGAAATGCTACTGTGATGTGGAACCATACAACTTAAATTATATTTCCTTAAGGTCTATGGACAAGTACTTTTTTCCCACATTATTTCCATTGTCTTTTTCGTTTCATATCTAGCGTCTCTCCACGACTTAAATTATTTAAATTTCGCTAGTGGTTCCTCCTTTCCAATCCCACTGCGAACATCTGACGTTCACAAATAGACTGGTGAATATGCAAATCTACCTAGGGGTCGGCCTGCCTGTCTGTTTTCGATATAGAACTTTGCACAAATGTGCGGAAGTTCAAGTCACCACACTCCGTGTAGCACGCGAAGCAAGAGAAGAAAATACAAGAAAAGCATAATAGAGACAGTGAGCAGAGGTGTGAGACAAAGGAGTAATAACGAAGAACAAAACAGTTTCATTGGAGATCATAAGTCACAAGGAGTGGATGCATCTGCGCTAGCCACTGAGAACGATTTTGAGCCATGTCACCAATTGTTTCCAACCATAGATTTTTACCGTCCCGAGGACCCCATCCAGCCAAGAAGGATACACCTTCCTACGTGGCTTAGACCAACTGTTGTGGATTTCATTGACTGGTGAAGCCAAGTTTTTGTTTGACCGCCGCTAGCTTTTTTCCAGCCTGACCCTATATCCGCTAACATTGCTCGTCGAGGGAGGCGATGGCTTGGCGGGCATACGTAACACATGTCCTAACCATCTCAGTCTTTGTAGCTTCACGACTTCGTCGATTGATTTCCTCCGTTTACCTAGAACTCTACGCCTAACCTCCATGTTGCTCACCTTATTATGCCACTTTACACGGGAAATAGAGCGCAGGCACCTATGATCAAAGACAGCTTGTCTTTTCGTGTCTCCAGGGGGTCAGTGCGTCTGTGGAACAGTGGTAGAATGCTTGCCGACCACACATATGGTCCGGGGTTCGATCCCTGGTCGACGCACTTCTTTACCTCGCTAAAGCAGGCTAGCAAAGAGTGAAGGTTGGGCATGAGGCTGGCTAGCAACCCCATCCTGTAAAAAATACACACCACTGCTACAGAAACTTCAAGCCTGTAGCTTGCAAGCACCCTATGTTCCAGTGGGAAAGTGAAGGAATAAAAAAAACCTAGGAGGTCTGTAAGACCTTGATTTCAAATCTATGTGGTGTACATGGGCTCCAGAATCCAAAAGGATCGGATGGCGTGTGAACTTGTTCTAGTCACTGGAAACCACGGGAACACAGCTGCTGACTCTACTTCACTGCCTAGTGTCAGGATTGGACTTGAAGTCACAGGCTCTGGTTGGTTGGTTCGGTGGGTGGTACTTCGACCTGGACGTCTAGACAGTATCTCCTATCCCTCACAAAATCTAATAAGATGTGTAATGCATCTCTTGGTGGCTGTATTTCATACCAAGTCTGTGTTTTATTCCATTATGGATATGTCACACAGTGTTATACAGTAATATTAATTGATGACTACGTTTCGAGCACAAACTATTGCCACTCATAATCATATCAAGTCACTCACACAGCTTTTTTCCTTCATTTATATACATGTGTGGAATTGACTAGATATTGGAATAAAAATCAATATAGGATAAATCGAGCAGTAGCACTAAGTAGTACAAGGAAAGACCTAAATGACGAAATCAAACAGATAGAAGAAGCATTGGTGTCAAATACCTAACTATCCGATAAAATTCATTAGGAAGATCGAAAAAGGCCAAAAGCAAAATAAAAATAATGCAGAAACTAGTCATGATAGCATAAATAAGAAAGCATATAAGTCATCTACTGTTATACCATATAAGGTGGGGACATATGAGACCCTACGTAGGATTCTCAATAAAGCAGGAATAAGGGTGGCATTCAAACCTACAAATTCACTCAGGAAGGACAAGCTCTGTAGGTTAAAGGACCCTGTTGACCCAATTAAACAAATTGATATAATTTACAAAATACCTTGTAATGACTGTGAGTTAAGTCAACTACATTGGTCAAACTAGTAGGTCATGGGTAGTCAGATTGTCGGAACATAAGAATTTAGTGGCTAAAGTAAGAATGGTTGACCCCACCCGAGAAGATAAGTAATTTAGAAAAAGGCTCAGCGATTGGACTACATGCATATTAACACACAACCACACAATAAGGTGATGGGACAGAGTCAAATTCTAAAACGTAATTTTTAAAGGTGGAGAGAGATTGATTACTGAATCCTGCCTGGTTCATTGAGTCTACATACAACAGAAATGACTCCACTTAAATACCGGAGATATGAAACATATTATTACCATCAGTCAAATCAGAAGAGGATAATAAATAATCCTAATGTTCTATTTCAATTCAAGCACATCATAACATTCCTACAAGTTACTCACTTATTATGACTATAAAAACACTCGTCTTATTTCCCATCTGATTGTATTTGATCAATAACACTCATATTATTATTTCTGAATGTACTTTATCTTATATTGTTGATTTTGTTCAAATGTCTAATCATCAATTTCACTCATGTATATAAATGAAGGAAGAAAGTTGTGTGAGTGAGTGACTTGATATGATTATGAGTGGTAATAATTTGTGGTCGAAACATGGTTATGAGTTAATATTACTGTACAGCAGCACTGTGACACTTTATCAAAATGAAATCTCTACCACAGTGCCCAACTTTTATACTTATACGTGTTTTATTGATAATAATAATAATAATAATAATAATAATAATAATAATAATAATAATAATCCCATTCCGTCTAGCTTAGCCTGGGTGGCTGGATAGAATAATCAGAATTTATACAGTCAATATGTCTCATGGCCTGTGTTGGGTGGCCGAGTTTCGATTGCACTGACGCTACAGGACTGGACCACGTCAACTCCTAACTTAGTGATAGGGAGTGAAGTAATAGAACATGTTGACCACTTCACCTATTTGGGAAGTTGTATTAGCACCAACGGACTGATTGGTGATGAAATCTCAGCATGGATCCGAAAAGCTCGAGCTACTTTCTCTGACTTACACCATCTCTGGCGTAGGCGTGACATCCGGTTATCAACCAAGGGACGTGTGTACTGCTCATCATTTCGCTCCGTCCTTCTCTATGGCTCTGAAGCATGGTCAATACACGTTGAAGACATGAAAAGGTTGACTGCTTTCGATCATAGATGTCTGCGATCTCTGTCTCACGTTAGGTGGTATAACAAGCTAGTAAGTAATGTTGACGTTAGGCGTAGAGTGTTGGGCAAAGAGGGAAAATCAATCGATGAGGCTATAAAGTTACATAGACTAAGATGGCTAGGTCACGTGCTGCGCATGCCTAACCACCGCCTCCCCCGACGGGCTTTGCTAGCTGATATAGGTGCAGGTTGGAAAAGAGCCAGTGGTGGCCAAACAAAAACATGGCCTCATCAATCCATGAAATCCTTGACAGTTAAACTGAGTCAGGTAGGGAGATGCAGACTCCCGGGTTGGGGCCCTCGGGACTCTAGGAATCAATGGCTGGAGACAATAGGTGACATGGCTCAAAATCGTTGTCAATGGCAGCGCAGATGTATTCAGTCTCTGTAATCTTTCATATTCCTTTCTACCATTACCAATTCTGTTTCACTCTTATACTTGTCAAACTCTATTGATTCTCTTCACTCATCTTCTTGTCTACCTTTGTGTGCTATTTGGAAGGTGGCAACTCGAACTGGTGCACTTCGGTGGCAAGTTCTATGTTGAATCCAGACAGACAGACAGCACTGACTCGTAGGCACTGAATTCGTCTCATGTATGTATTTGTAAAATCCCTTATTACTGTTATTATTATTTTCTCAATGATGCATTTTTTTCCAAAGGGTGGTGAAGTTTTCTCCTATCCAGAAGATTCAATGGTAACAGATCCAAAACTAGCTGAACATTTAGCCCATTTTGGCATCGACATAATGCGTATGCAAAAAACAGAAAAAACAATGGCTGAGCTAGAAGTGGATGCTAATGAAAGGCTTGGTGAATGGCTTACTCTACAAGAATCGAATCATTCCCTTGAAGCACGTTATGGTCCTGGTATGACTGGACTTAGAAATCTTGGTAACACATGTTATATGAATGCTGTAATACAGGTAAGAGTTGTATCATATATGTATAATAATTGTATTTTCTTTTCCCACCTTTATTTGTTATCTATTGGTTTCTAAATGTTAGAGTATGCGATTGATATTGTCCTCATACGTGTGAATATGCTGACAAAACACAGAGTTTTCTGAACACTTTGAGCAGTGATCTTCGAATGTTTGGCATGTGATTCACTCCTGTCAAAATGTTAGATGGTGCTGAAGGACTGGACTACGCGGACTCCTAAGGGAAGTGAGGCGGTGGAGTGTATTGACCAATTAACTTATTTGCGAAGTTATTATTATTATTGTTCCCTTGGGTTCCTAGTGGAAAATAGGGCCTCAACTGCACGTATCCACTTGTCTTCTGCCGTACTTTTCACCTGCATCTATGTTAGTTAGTCCATACTGTTTCAACTCCTACTCTTCACACGATCTCCTCTATGTCACCCTTGCATTGACGTCCCACTCGCCGCTTCTCTTTCGGCCTGGTTCCACTCGAGCGATGGCCTGATGCGCAATGTCAGCCAGCGGTCTCTTCAGCGAGTGTTCAATCCATCCCCACTTTCTCCTGCATATTTTTTGGGCAAGCGACTGGTTCTTGTTTTGTTCGTTTGTTCCCATAGTTTCTTGTTGGTGATTCTTTCCGGCCCGGCCATCTGATCTTCAGTATAGAGCGAAGACAGTTGTTGTTGATAAAGGTCTGCAACAGGCTGTTGGAAATATTCTTTGTGACCCGCCCGCCAAGTTTCTGATCCGTATAGAAGAACTGACTGTTTTGACGTTTGTATTGAAAATCCGACCGAATTTTGTTGTTGATTCTGGCTGAGTGACGAAGATTTCCAGATTGATTTCAGGTTGATGAATGTGTTTCTCGCTGCCTTCCCGAATCTCGCTCGATTTGACATCCTCGTCCGTTCCGACTTCCTGTAGTTGAGACAATGCTTCCTAGATAAGTGAATGAAGTAACCTCTTTCAAATCCCTCGCGCTGATGGTGATTGGCACTGGATGTTTCTGCTGTTGTTGTTATTGGTTGGTTATTTTCATAACCTCCGTCTTGTCTATGTTCACCTGGAGTCATGACTACGCCGGCTGCTTCTTCGACCAGTTTGTCAGTCGGTTTTCGCTTGTAAGTCTTCGATTTTGTGTGACATCAAGCATAAATTATCCACACGCGAAGTCCAGGTCTTCTAGGTTCTTCACGTCGGTCAATCCAGGATATCTCTGTCTGCTCGTTTCCAACTGTCTGACACATAATCCAGCCAGTGCACAACAATTAGGAATATCATTGGTGATAGTAAGCACCCTTGTCTGACTCCTGTGTTCACTCCAAACGCCTCACTGAGTCTTCCGTTGTGGATCACTTGCAGGTGCCGTTGTCGTACAGCTGTTGAATAAGGTTGATGAATATTTGGGGTACGCCGTAGTACTCGAGTAATTTCCAAATTACTTCACGATCAACGCTTGTCGAAGGCCTTCTCAAAGTCTATAAAGTTGAGGTAGAGGTTTGATTGCCATTCCATGCTTTGCTCGATGATGATGCGTAGATTACTAGCTCGCTAGTTTTCCAGCCGGTCCCAAGCCCGGATAAAGACGGAGGGTTGGGGCGCGGTGCTAGCAACTCCACCCCCAAAACTTAACCAAATTGCTACAGAAACTTCAACGCATAAATATTTGCGAAGTTGCATCACCTTAATCGACTGATTGCTGACGACACCTTAGCACAGATATAGAAGATTTATATGGCATATGTCAGTTTATGCCGTCTCTGGCGTAGACGTAATATCCGGTTGGCTATCGATCGAAGGACGTATGTACCTGTGCAGCAGTTCTTTCTGTTCTACTTTATGACTGTGAGAGATGGCCATTGAAAGTGGAAAATGTGAAAAGACTGGCTAGATGTCTTTGCGTTAAACGGTATAATAGGGTGAGTAATACTGAGGTTAGGCGTCGAGTGTTACATGGCTAGGACAAGTGTTGCGCATCCTGAGCCATCAGCTTCCTCGACGAGCGATTTCAACTGATATTTCAGACTACTCTGGAAAGGAGTTTAGGGTAGTGAAAGCAAAACTTGGAATTCGTTCATGCAATCTTAGACAGTTGGTCTGAGCCAAGTGGGGGGGGGGGAGGTGTAGACTCCCGTCCGGTTGCCTGGGTCTTTGGGATTCGTAGAACCAATGGCTGGAGATTATTAATGATAGGGCTGGAAATCTTTCTCATTAGCTGGTGCAGATGCATTCACTCTTTGTGGTTTCACATATATCTTTTGTCTACCTTTGTATGCTACACGGTGTATGGCAACCTGAACTGGTGAACTTTTGTGCGAAGTTCTATGTTGAAAGTCGGTTAGTGAGTCGGTCAGTCAGTCATTTCAACTGGTATCCGAATTATGGTTGTATTCATTAATTACCAATCTGTTTTACTTGACTTGCGATTTGAGACAGTATTTCTCAGACACAGCAATATGCGTCATTGGCACAGCGGTAGAATGCTCGCCAACCACGCCTCAGGTGGTTCGGGGTTCGATCCCCGACCTCCAACGCACTCCATGATAAAATTGGTAGTGAGCGAATTTTGAGCATGAGGCTGGTTAGCAACCCCATCTCCTAAAATTAAACACCACTGCTAGCGAAACTTCAAGCCTTTAACTTGAAGCCCTATGTTCCATTGGCAACGTTTTTTTTCTTTCTTTCCTTCACGTTCCCCAGTGGAACATAGGGCTTCAAGCTAGTGACTTGAAGTTTCTGTAGTAGTGTTTATTTTCACAGGATGGGGTTGCTAGCCTCATGCCCAACCTTTCCTCTTTACCAGAATTATTTCTGGCTTAACAAGGTAAAGGAGTGCGTTGGCGGCCGGGAATCGAACCCCGGACCATGTGCATGGTCGGCGAGCGTCTTAACCGCTATGCCACCGACGCCTTGGGAACGTAAAGGAATAAAAAAATGTATATGTCTGACCAGTGGTGTATGTATGCATAAGAAGAAGACGACTGAGGACATGAGCGTGAGCGAAAATACCCAGACTGACCTTGCTCACCATCTTGGCATAAACATGTGATTTGATTTTGTCTGACTACGTATCGACTTGACAGTCGTTTCGTCCTGGTTTGCGGCTCTTCATCAGTATTCATTCAATAATCTTACTGAAAATCAAACTTGGGACTGAGAGAACCCCCACGCCCCGGACCATTCGATCACTGTATACGAATTGGGATGAAACAAATGTATCCAGTACTCCACATGGTTCTCAGTGATTCTCCGTTGGATGTCAAGTCGTGATGAAACTAAAATATTGGCTTTGAAGTTTCAGTAGCAGTGGTTCTTTTTTTTACTTTTACAGGTAGGGGGTTACTAGTTTCACGCTCAATCTTCCCTGTTTACTGGACTTACTTACCGTCTTAGAGAAGTTTGTGGTGGGTGCATTGGCAGTTGGGGATAGTATCCTGAACCTTTGGTTTTGGCGCGTCGTTGGCAAGTATTCTGCCGCTGAACCATTGATGCACTATGTATTTGCTATATTGATGTGGGGTGGAGATGCCAGGGTATAGACTTCGGACTCCTCTGTCTGTCTGTCTGTTTTCGACATAGAAATTTGCACCGACGTGCAGCAGTTCAAGTCGCCACACTCTCTCCATTTAGCACACAAAGCAACAGAAGTAAGTCGAAGAAATGCATTATAGAGACAGTAGACAAGGATATGGGACGAAAGGAATAGTAATATGCGAGAACAATATAGTTTCATTGGAAATTACAAGTCACAAGGAATGGATGCATCTGCGCCAGCCATGGAGAACGATGAGTTTGAGCCATATCACCAATTGTTTCTAGCTGCCATTGGTGCTTACCATCCTGAGGATCCCAACCAGCCAGTCAGGAAGTCTACACCTTCCTACGTGGCTGGCTGGCCGACTTAAACTAACTGTTGTGGATTTCATTGATTGATAAAGCATGTTTTGGTTTGAACATTACTAGCTAGTTTTTTCCAGCCTGACCCTATGTCAGCTAACATTGCCCATTGTCGAGGAAGGCGGTGGCTAGGCATACGTAACACATGTCCTAGCCATCTCAGTCGATGTAACTTCACAGCCTTGTCGATTGATTTCCCCTTCTTACCTAGCACTCACTGAACACCTAGCCTCAATATTGCTCACCCTATTATACCTTTTCACATGGGAGATAGAACGCAAGCACCTATGATCAAAGCCTGCTGGTCAACCTTCTCATGCCTTCCATTCAGTGACCACGTCTCACAGCCATAGAGGAGGACGGAGCGGACTGCTGAGCTTTACACCCCCGTCCCCCTTGGTCGATAGCCCAGTCGGTTATCACGTCTACTAAGGCAGAGACGGCGTAAACTGATTATTTATTGATTTGACTGAATTTGTCGTTTGTAACCGAAACAGTATTGTGTCTTATGCTATTTTTTGATTATGATTTTCACTCCTAGGTGTTGTTTTCAATTCCACAATTTCGTTCCTACTATGCCTATCAATTACCGATATGGTCTGAAGAGGTGCTGAGTCAGTTCGCCACCAGCAGCAGCGGTGGCAGCGGTAGTCATCAGTCACATTCACTCCTACCTGTAGATCATATTGGCTTACAATTTTCAAAGCTCGGTTATGGTCTTTGCTCTGGTGCTCATTCATGGTTAGTTCCAAATAATCATAATAATACAAATCATCCAATGGAAGGACCTGTACCAATTCTTCCAGGTTAGTTGCAACACTTTTTCGTCTACTGTACACCTTACTTCACTTTACTTTACTTTACTTAGACGTCATTTAAAGTGACCACTTTATTTCCTCATTGCTTAATCTGAGCTGTGTGGAGTGGCAGAGAATATGGACCTTTTGTTTCGATGTCTCTTGCGTTTTTCCTAAGACAGTCGTGTAAGGACTCGACCACACAAGCTACACTGGCTGGAACTATTGTTCCTGCAGGTCCCTACCATGCCAAGAAGGTTGTTAGGAGATAGCGATTAGACTAAAAGCAGATATCGGCTTAGTGTAGGAATTCCTGTTTTTACACAATGCTGGGGGACAGGGGTGTAACAACAGCAGTGAGGTGTTTCCCTCAGATGACCAGCATGCCAGTCGGCTATGCTGTGTCTCCACTCCATCTACAGTGGTCCGTAATCGGTAGTAGGTTTACTAATACGGAACAAATCCAAGAAACCAGTAGTTCATACAAACCTTGTGTGACCGGCTGGTCTCAAACAGTTGTTCTCTGGGCTCTGCGGTCATGCAATACTAACCCTCTTTCTATTTCAGGTAGCCGAAGAATCAGCCAACTTCTTCGGTGTAGGCAGCTGGGAAGTAACAACCGCCCACACACACTTCCAAAAGCACACGAAGCCTCCCCCAAGCATCATTCATTCATTGTTAGGACCCAGGTCTTCCTTCATGTACCAGCCTATCCCACACATTTATGTTGGAGTAGGCAGAGCGCAGCTGGATACGAGTCCGCGGGATGTATTGACTGGAAACTGAGTTGGGGCTGTGCCCTTTTTTTCAGTAATCTAATAATTGTAACTTTAATTTATAAACTGAATGTCGGAAAAATTAGGAAAGATAATATTAGAAATTCATGAATTTATAGTCTCGCCTGAAGGCTGGACAGAGCAGTAGTAGTAGTGGTTGGACTTGCTTCTTTTGCACACCCAGAACTGCTTGTTTCACACGAATCACGATAGCCTCTGCTGTTTGGAGCATGCGGTACTTTGGTGTTTTTGGCAATTTATTTGGTAGCCGGTAGATGATGATGGAGAAGGATTCCTCAATGCTGACTGGCTTTGTGACCGGGCCGGTTTGGACCAGATGGTCTGATATCGAACTGTTGATGACTTTTTACTACACACCTTTAGTTAGCCATACTGGGAGATGTTCTCGAGTGAGCACGAAAAATCAAGTTCTTAGAGCAATGGGCGATATACCTCGCTCACTGACTGCAGTTCGGATGAAACGAAGGATGAGTTCTACCAAAAGCTGTCTAGTTTGGTGAGAAAGGCTAAACGCTCAGATATAGTCGTTCTAGCTGGTGACTTCAACGCTCAAGTAGGGAAATTGTGTCAATCTGAGAAGGATGTCGGTGGCACCTATGGAGTTCCGTGCCAGCGAACCGACAACGGTGACCGTCTCCTACAGTTCTGTTCAGATAATCATTTGTTTCTTGTAAGCACTAACTTTAAACACAAGGAGAGACACTGTTTAACCTGGCGACCCCCATCATCAAACCAACGCTGGACACAAATAGACCACATAGCAATAAGCTATCGTTGGCGTGGGTCGGTAGGAGATTGTCGCTCCTTCTGGAACACGTGTGTAGATACCGATCACGCACTGGTCCGGGCTCGTGTGTGCTTACGACTGAACGGACGTAGGAAACAGCTGGCGGTAAAACCATCACGCCCCCAGCTCGATCAGGAAACTAAATCCCTATTTGAGGAAGAACTAGCTAAACGCATATCTGAATTCGACAGCTGTGCTCACCCTGGAGAAGCCTGGAAGAATATTCAGTCAGCTATAGATACAGCTGTAAAAGCTGTGAATAAGACAAATCCAAAGGTGAGTAAAAACCACTGGATTTCGACTGCCTCATCCGAACTGATAGATGCTAGAAGACTTATTCCGGCGAGCTCCGAATTCAATGAGGAGCGAAAGCTGCACAAAAGGAAACTTACTAAAAGTCTCCGCAAGGACCGTGAACAGTGGTGGGTGACAAAGGCGAAAGAGATGGAAAAAGCATTGGCGATAGGCAACACTAGGCAACTCTTTAGACTCATCACAGAATCGGGCGGGAAAAGGCAATTCATAAGTGAGACTATTTCTGAGAAAAATGGCTCCTTAATTAGCTCTCAGGATAGACGCCTTGAACGCTGGAAAGAACACTTTGAGGAACAATTTAACTTGCCTACAGCCACACTGAACCTCCCCGCCATCCACCACGTACCCGAATGGGATATAGACACTGGTCCGCCGTCTGTAGGTGAGGTTACAAAAGCTATCAGTAATTTGAAACGAGGCAAAGCGGCAGGACCCGACGGAATTATTCCGGAGGTGTTTAAATATGGGGGTGACATACTAGTTTGTAGATTAACTGAGGTACTAGGCAAAGTCTGGGAATCAGAGACAGTACCATCAGACTGGGGTAAGTCACTTATTATACCGATATTCAAGAAGGGAAACAAGTCCTCGTGTGATAATCATAGGGGGATCAGCCTAACGAACATAGTCTCTAAAATCCTAGGCTCAGTAATCATGCATAGACTAAGCAGAACTCGGGAGGAACAGACAAGGGAAAATCAAGCAGGCTTTAGACCAGGTAGAGGGTGCATAGATCATATCTTCACTCTTCGACAGATTCTAGAACATAGACACACTTTTCGGCGTCCAACAATTGTCATATTTCTTGACTTGAAGGCGGCCTTCGACTCCGTGGATCGAAAGGTACTATGGCAATGTCTGACTGTGAAGGGAGTGCCAAGAAAGTACATTGCACTAATCAAGGCACTCTATTCAAACTCACGTAGTCGTGTAAGGGCTTATGGGGAATTGTCATCTGAATTGGTAACAACCAGTGGTGTCCGACAGGGATGTCCACTTTCCCCATTTCTGTTTAACTTCATCATAGATATGCTAATGGAAGTATCCTTAACTGAACGTAGTGACTTAGGAATCGACTTGTTACCAGGGAATAATCTCATGGACTTAGAATATGCAGATGACATAGTCCTGTTAGGGGAGGATGCTGACAAAATGCAGAGTCTTCTGAACACCTTGAGCAGCAATCTTCGTATGTTTGGCATGCGATTCGCCCCTGCAAAATGTAAGATGCTGCTACAGGACTGGACCACGTCAACCCCTAACTTAGTGATAGGGAGTGAAGTGATAGAACATGTTGACCACTTCACCTACTTGGGAAGTTGTATTAGCACCAACGGACTGATTGGCGATGAAATCTCAGCACGGATCCGAAAAGCTCGAGCTGCTTTCGCTGACTTACACCATCTCTGGCGTAGGCGTGACATCCGGTTATCAACCAAGGGACGTGTGTACTGCTCATCAGTTCGCTCCGTCCTTCTCTATGGCTCTGAAACATGGCCAATACGCGTTGAAGACATGAAAAGGTTGACTGCTTTCGATCATAGATGTCTGCGATCTCTGTCTCACGTTAGGTGGTTTCACAAGATAAGTAATGTTGACGTTAGGCGTAGAGTGTTGGGCAAAGAGGGAAAATCAATCGACGAGGCTATAAAGTTACATAGACTAAGATGGCTAGGTCACGTGCTGCGCATGCCTAACCACCGCCTCCCCCGACGGGCATTGTTAGCTGATATAGGTTCAGGTTGGAAAAGAGCCAGTGGTGGCCAAACAAAAACATGGCATCAATCCATGAAATCCTTGACAGTTAAACTGAGTCAGGTAGGGAGATGCAGACTCCCGGGTTGGGGCCCTCGGGACTCTAGGAATCAATGGCTGGAGACAATAGGTGACATGGCTCAAAATCGTTGTCAATGGCGCAGATGTATTCAATCTCTGTAATCTTTCATATTCCTTTCTACCATTACCCATTCTGTTTCACTCTTATACTTGTCAAACTCTATTGATTCTCTTCACTCATCTTCTTGTCTACCTCTGTGTGCTATTTGGAACGTGGCAACTCGAACTGCTGCACTTCGGTGCCAAGTTCTATGTTGAATCCAGACAGACAGACAAGCTCAGCTGAATTGATAGATACAATTGGAAGTGGTTAGTCTAGTCTAGGTACTTCATCTTTCAATCGAGGAATCACCACCATCGGTCGTGTAGAGAATAATAAGATGTTTATTTCGCCAGGATTCAAAGATCGTAAAAGTGATTTTCTTAATTTCTTCGTAATTATTTCTCTTGGTATATCACCCTTGAATCGCAGTCGTATATATATATATATATATATATATATATATATATATATATAACTACAGAGCCTAATGAAGAAGAGCAGGTTATCGAAAAGAGTATTATTTGTTCAGTAACCAATGGTTGGAAACAATTGTTGATATGACTCAAGATCATTCTCAATGGCGCAGATGTATCCACTCCTTGTGACTTATTATTTCCAATGAAACTATGTTTCGCACTTAATAGTGTTCTCTGAGCTGCTTGGTTTAGTTGCGGAGCTTTCGTCGTCCTTCTGGAGAAAATCTTCAGCGCAGTATTTAGCGTTTCTTCTTCTTCTTCTCTGGCTTTGTGTGCTGAGTAGTGTGGCGACTCGAACTACTTCACATCGGTGCAAAGTTCTATGTTGAAACCAGGCAGATAGACAGACAGGCGGATGAGTGGGGGATATTGTTCTAAGGCCCTTTACACACTACAAGTGGTTTATAGATTAGTACATACATACATACATACAACCAAAGGGTACTGAACTGAGTAAAACTGATCTCCATTATAGTATGTGTGTGTGCGTGTGTGTGGTGGTCTGTTACATACCACCAAAAGCACATGATTGATGTGTGCTAAACTGTATACATTAGTGCTTATTTACTCCATGTTGTGTATAGATCATACAAACAATGGTCATCTGATATGGTGATGAAAGTATTGAAATGAAAGACCATTTAACATGTGTGCGTTTTTTATTGAGCAAAACAACCGTGTATTGTATAGTTTTATAGCACAGAGTTCCTTAACTCCATTTTTCAGAAGAAGGCCTATTATTAACACCAAAAAAGAAACACATTTATGTGAGCTACAATGGATGAACTAGTGGATTTATCACAATATTAAGGATAATCAACGACAATTAGTGCGTCGGTGGTATAGCGGTTAGGACGCTCGCCGACCATGCACATGGTCCAGGGTTCGATTCCCGGCCGCCAACGCTAAGCCAGAAATAATGCTGATAAAGAGGGAAGGTTGAACATGAGGCTAGCAGCAACCCCATCCTGTAAAAAAATAAACACTGCTACAGAAACTTCAAGCCTTCTAGCTTGAAGGTGCCCTATGTTCCACTGGGGAACGTGAAGAAAAGAAAAAAAAGACAATTAACTAACTTGAAGGAAGGAACTTTGCAAAGGCCTTGGATAACGTCGACCGTGAAGTAATTTGATAACTGCTTCAACACTATGGAGTGTATAGTGACGCGAACTTTTATAAATCTTATTCAACAGCATGCTGAATGCTTCACAACGGACGTGGGGTTCACTAGCTACAGACACAACAAAAATCAATCTCAAGAATGCGGAGATGCATCACCATTGCAAAAGGTTTGGAGGGAAGGAAACGTATCTACTGATTGGCAGGAGGCCTATCTTGTCAGACTTTCAAAGATGGGGAACAATAGTCTTTGTAGAAACTAGCACAGAATCATGCTCCCGTCTCCACGCCAAGGAAAATATCAAGTCGCGCTATCCTGGATAGAGAATAAAACATCCTCTGGATACTAAACTCTGTCCGAAACTAGTTGGATTGAAGGAATCTAAATCATGTGCGGATGAAGTCGCAACGCTGCGCATCATTCTCAAACAGAGCATGGAATGGCAGTCAAACCTCAAACTCACCTCCATCGAGTTTCTAAAGGCCTTCGACAGTGTTGACGACTGCAATACTTTGGAGTGCGCCATATCTTTATTAACCTCGCTCAACAGATATTTGATGATGCCATGCGTCAAGTGGTTCACAACGAAAAACTAGGCGAAGCCTTTGAAGTGCAGAGAGGAGTAAGACAGGGTTGTCTACCCAACACTGATGACATTCCTAACTCTGGTGGGGACTGGGTTATCCGACAAATTGTAGCGAGCGAGAAGAGACAGGCATACTATGTACTGAGGAGAAGACGCTAGATCTGGAGTTCGCGGATGATTTATGTCTGATGTTACACAAACGGGAGGAACTACAGGCGGAAACCAAAAAAGTTGACAGAAGACACAGACAGCGAATACAGGACCTCAAGTGAAAATGGAGAAGACAGAAGTGATGAAGATATCCAACCACTAGTAACAAGCACCAATCACTAGTGACAAGAGAAATCTACAGGAAATTGTCTCTTTCACTTATCTAGACAGCATCGTTTCAACAGTAGGCGGACAGATGAGAATGTCAAAGGCTTCAGGAAAGGAAAAGCAAGACAGACCTTCATTACATCGAAATTAGCGTGGTAAGTAGCTGCACTCAGCATGAAGAAGAAGAAGGAGAAGAAGACTCCGATTTCCAGCACAAATGTGGTTCAAAGATTTTACGCGCTACCAAAAGCATTTCCGACAGGCTACTGAAGACTTTCATCAACATCTGCCTTCACTGATTCAGTACTGAAAGTGAAATAACCAAAAAAGATTAGCAACGTGTAACTTTGCCAACCATCCAACCAACCAGGAATCTTATCGCCCAACAAATATGCGGAAGGAAATGATGATACACTGGATGCACACTGATGAAGCCATTGAGTGAGTGAAACCCGGTTGGGAAACGGCGAGTTGTATGTTAGTTAGTGCAAGGGTGACATGAAGGAGATGAGAGTTTATGGGCAATCGTACCTAGATGGCCAAGGTAAGGACAATGTCTGAACTAACTTCTTTCGGTTGCACAAATTAGGTTTCTTAATATGGATCCAACAGCCCAGCCTCAGCATTATTCAGTAATCGAAATGTTAAGGCGAAATTAAGATTAGTTGTTATGCGATTAATGACACGGAAAGCCTGGTTAACATCAATCATGTGTTCTGTATTCACAAGGTGAGAGAGAATAACGCTACGTATATATTTTGTTTCTCCTTTACTTAACCACGTGGGGTGATGTTCGGAAATTCGACGAGAAACACGCCTGATTGTACGGCATATGTAACTGGCTCCACAGGAGCAGTTAGCTTGGTAGATACACATGGAAGACGCGAAATTAGGCAGTTTGTCTTTTACTCCCAAACGCAAAATAGAAGTGGGTGGTTTTGAAGACACAGCGTAATTCGGCTGCATGGAGTGCTCTTTTTACCACCGTATTTTTTAGGCGTTGTGTTAGTATTTCGCTGATGTTGTGTCCCCAAGGAACTGAATTTGTAATTGTAGAGCCAGAAGAGGAGGAAATTATCGAAAAGGATATGCTTTGCTCACATTTATTTTGTGTTTTTTTTATAGATATAAGTATATGTCTAACAGCGTCGGTGGCACAGCGGTCGAATGTTCGCCAACCACTCCTCATATGGTCCGGGGTTCGATACCCGGCGGCTAACGCACTCCTTTACCTCGCTCGCTAAACCAGTAATAAGACTGGTAAAGAGGGAAGGTTGGACATGAGGCCAGCAGCAACCCCACTCTTGTAAAAGTAAACACTACTGCTACCGAAACTTCAAGTCTCTAGCTTGAAGTCCTAAGTTCCACTAGGAACGTAAAGGAATAAAAAACACCTGTCTAACATGTGTAGAAGACCATCACCGCTGTCGGTTCGTCGGTCGGGAACTCCACACATACCATCTACATACTTCTCAGTCTGGCACAACTTCCCTACTTGGGCATTGAAGTCGCCTGCTAAAACAACTATATCTGAACGTTTTGCTTTTCGCAGCAAATTAGACAGTTTCAGGTAGAAGTCATCCTTTAGTTCATCCGAACTGCAGTCTGTTGAGGCGTAAGGGGAGACTACGAAAAGGCAACGACGGGTAGCACCGTCTTTCCTCCTTTTAACGGACTTATTTAGACGAACCGCACACATACAACTATCTACTGGGATCCAGTCAAGAACTGATTTTTCCTGCAAGTCCTCGTGGGCCAGCTGAGGGGTCTCCTGACACCCTTAAAGTGAATTTTGAAGATTCACCTTGTTGACCGGGTGAGGTTAGGTGAATGACCATACTCGGGTCTTGTATGCGTGTCTCCGAAACACAACATACATGCATGGCTCGAGATGCCAGAGTTCTTGCTAGTGATGCCTGTTGTCCGATTTGGCAGAGGTTCCTGACGCTAAATGCTCTTATATGAAGTTGGCGACGTGGCTTTAAAAGGCTATCTGGAGTGTTTCTATGGCTGTCACCGTTGTTTGTGGTCACAGAGTGAAGTGAAGATGACTGACTCACTAGCCTACAGGAGAGTACTAACTGTAGTAGAGAAGCTAGATGAGGAAGGTGATGTGAGTAAGGAAGAGTAATCTTCAGGAAGGCTTCGTGTGCTTTTGGAAGTGTATGGGCGGTTGTTACTTCCCGGCTTCCCACACCGTGGAAATTGATTGATTCTTCGGGAACCTGAAACAGAGAGAGTGTTACGTGACCGCAGAGCCCAGGGGACAACTACTTGAGGCCGGTCACACGCGGCCTGTTTTTGTTTGTTCTTTTTTGTTTGGTGTATCTCAGTAGCATATTTATTACTTCTGCCCTGTGACACGGCAGCAGGAAGTGCGGTCGTTGCTAATCTGGGCCCCGACTGATCTGGCATGATATTTTGTGAATTTGTTTGAATTATAGTATTGGATTGGGTACCTGCTTTTTTTCTAACCGCTATCCAAACAAACTTTCTAGCATGGTAGGACCGCAAGCGACATAAGTCTCAGCCAGTATAGCTTGTTGGGACATTGCGGTGTTCAAGCCCGACCGCCACGTCAAGGTAGCAGCTTTCGGTCGGCTCGCGTAATTCGGCTGCATGGAATTCTCTTTTTACCGGATTTTTAAGGCGTTGTGTTGGTATCTCGTTGATGTTGTGTCCCCAAGGAACTGAATTTGTAATTGTAGAGCTAGAAGAGGAGGAAATTATCGAAAAGGATATTCTTTGCTCACATTTATTTTGTGTTTTTTTTATAGATATAAGTATATGTCTAACAGTGTCGGTGGCACAGCGGTAGATTGTTCGCCAACCACGCCTCATGTGGTCTGGGATTCGATCCCCGGTCGCCAACGCACTCTTTTACGTCGCTCGCTAAGCCAGTAATGAAACTGGTCAAGAAGGGAAGGTTGGACATAAGGTGGCTAGCAACCCCATTCCGTAAAAGTAAAAACCACTGCTATTCAAGTATTCGTTTGTAGGGACTTGATTGATTGGTTGCAGGATTTCATTAATGAGTTGCTCACTGGCGACTGGCCCTATTCCGGTAGGTAGGTAGGTCTAGTGGGAAGTCGTGACCAGTAGGGTGCAGCAGGTCGGGTGTGAGGACAAATACTCGCCACCGTAGACATTGGCTTGTGTTTGCGCTATATCATTAAATTGGCAGAAGTTAGAATTCATGGACTGGCTGGCCATTGAATCGGGTCCCAGTAAGTGGCTTAATGGTCTACTACGAGCTAGCTCGCCAACCTTGTATTCAGAAGTTCCTGGGTTCGAACACCCCGTGGTGTGGGTGTGTACTGATAGGGAGTCTCAAACTAGGATGCAACAACTGTCCAGTACTCCCAGGTTTTCTAAGGGTTCTCCTCTAACCAGTGTCAGATCATGATGAAATCCTGGAACCAAAAAAGCACTGCTACTGAAACTTCAAGTCTTTAGCTGGGAATGTAAGGGAATAAAAGAAAAATCTGTCTACCGTGTGTATAACTCTCCAGAGTAGGTTTTGTAATATTACCTATCTGCTTTCTATTGATGAATCACCTCTTTCTTTCTTTCTTTGTTTTTTTCACTCGAACAATCCAACCTAAAGGTATTCGTCCATTGTTATTCCGTCGTCTTATGGGAATGCATAACACTACATTTGCTACAAAACAACAACAAGATGCTTGTGAATTTCTTATCTACCTTTTGGATTTATTAGATCAAAAGGCGAAAGGTAAGGAGCACGGTAACTTGCATCCAAGTGGTGTTATGCGTTTCGGTGTTGAAGAACGCCTACAGTGTGGTTTAACCCAGAAGGTAAGATTTAAATTTTCCGCTCTTTTGTTTTATATTTCATTTTTACACACTAGTTAATTTTAATATGTTTTTGGTTTAATAGCTCCTTCTTTTTGTTGGATTGAAAGCAGTTAGCATAGTCATAATTCACGTGATGGTGGCTACTTTGATTGGACACTAGACAGTGATTAGTGTGATTGTGGCAACCATTCTAGGTAGCTTGCCATCATGTTGTACATTGATTTGTTCATATTAGGTGGTTGGAGGCAATCGGAAGGAGTCCTTGACACCACCTAGGTTCCTGCTAGTAGTTGGCACTCTACTCGTACTCATACAGCCAGGTGAGGGCTTACGGCGAGCTGTCATCTGAACTGGTGACGACTAGTGGTGTCCGTCAAGGATGCCCATTATCCCCATTAGATGTGTTAATGGACTTAACCCTAAGTGACTTCAGCGACTCAGGGATTGACTTGCTACCAGGGAATAATCTCGTTGACTTGGAATATGCAGACGATATAGTCCTTCTAGGTGAAGACGCTGACGAGTTGCAGAGTCTTCTAAACACCTTGAGCCGCAATCTACAAATGTTTGGCATGCGATTCGCTCCCGCCAAATGCAAGATGATGTTACAGGACTGGACTACATCGACGCCTAGTTTAAAAATAGGAAGTGAAGTGGTAGAGCACGTTGACCGCTTCACTTATTTAAAGAAGGACCATCAGCCCCAACGGGTTGATCTCTGACGAAATCTCAGCACGAATACAGGGGGCTCGTTTCGCATTTGCCAGTTTACGCCGACTCTGGCGTAGACGAGATGTTTGACTATCAACCAAAGGACGGGTGTACTGCTCATCAGTCCGCTCCGTCCTCCTTTATAGCTGTGAGTGAGACCTGGCCATTGAGAGTGGGAGACATGAAAAGACTAGCTGTCTTTGATCATAGGTGCCTGCGCTCTATTTCCCGTGTAAAGTGGCATAATAAGGTGAGCAACATTGAAGTTAGGCATCGGTCGAGTTCTAGGTAAACAGGGGAAATCAATCGACGAAGTCGTGAAGTTACAAAGACTGAGATGGTTAGGACATGTGTTACGTATGCCCGCCAAGCCATCGCCTCCCTCGACGAGCAATGTTAGCGGATATAGGGTCAGGCTGGAAAAAAGCTAGCGGCGGTCAAACAAAAACTTGGCCTCACCAGTCAATGAAATCCACAACAGTTGGTCTAAGCCACGTAGGAAGGTGTAGACTTCCAGGCTGGGGTCCTCGGGACGGTAAAAATCTATGGTTGGAAACAATTGGTGACATGGCTCAAACTCATCGTTCTCAGTGGCGCAGATGCATCCACTCCTTGTGACTTATGATCTCCAATGAAACTGTTTTGTATTTCTTTATTACTCCTTTGTCTCACACCTCTGCTCACTGTTTCTATTATGCTTTTCTTGTACTTTCTTCTCTTGCTTCGCGTGCTACACGGAGTGTGGCGACTTGAACTTCCGCACATTTGTGCAAAGTTCTATGTCGAAAACAGACAGACAGACAGTTGGCACTCACCAGTCAGCGAGGAAGGCGTATCTGCAATCTTGAAGGAACTCATGTCCCCTGTCTGAGATCCGGATCCGCATCACCCAGTGAGTGCTGCAGTAGTCTGAGACGTTACCACTGAGCTATTGGGGCTCGCGATTGACCTCCTATAGGACTGTAGTGGATGCTTTAATTGGACACTAGCCAATGACTAGTGTGATGTGTCTAGTCCTTTTTGTTTGGTTCAGACTGAATTCTATCAGTCGTCAGGTTTGTAATGTGGCCACCATGCCACTAGGTAGCTTGCCATCATGGTGCACATTGATTTGGTGATATTAGATAGTGGTTGGGGGGAAATCGACAGGAATTTCAGAAGGCAGAAAGATTGAGCGAAGAAATATTTACTCATTTCTGGCTCTACTCTAATATACACCTTGAGCATTTTATTACAATACACAACAGTTTACCAATCATCAAGTGGCACAGATATGTTTGTTAACAATAATTAGTCAGTGTCAACACGTCAAACAGTGGGTGATGATTAACGAAGAAAATTAATACACACAATTAAAAAGTAGAAGTGGTTACAGCACGTGGATTGCATGATGCATAATTTTGGAAAAAAAAGAGTAATTAAGGAATAAGCGTGTGGTCAACTTGATGACGTAACAGATTGTTAAAGAAAAGAAAACAATCTGGACAATGATAATTTGTAACTAAGGATGAAGTGATCATAAGAATGAAATAATTTTACAAGGATAACATGTAATTAAAGATGAAGTAGTCAGAAAAAATAAAATAATTTGGACAATTATAGCTTTTAAATGTTTAGGAGGAGGCGGGCGAAGTAGCCTAGTTTATACATTCATGTAACGATGATAGCCAAGGTAAGGATAGTGGCTGTACAAATTTCTTCTGAACACACGGGTTTGGTCTATTCTTCAGGTGGATTCCTATTGCTTCAGTTGTATGTAGGAGACGAACTCGTAGAGCAAATTTAAGATTAGTAGGAATGCGATAGATAATTTTAAATGTTTATATTTCAAAGGTACAAAACTCAAAAAATGAGTGTACTGACCTGTTGTTGTAGGTTTCCTATGCATACTGCTTCTAAGTGTGCCATCTTTTTCCTTGCCATGAAGACGTCTAGGAATGAGATACTGTCGTTACTTTCTTTCTCTATGGTAAAGTTTATTGCTGAATGTGTATCATTAAACTTGTCAAGGGTATTCATTGCATCATTCTCGTCTTTCACAACCAGAAATGTATCATCCATATATCGACAGTAGAAATCCAAGTTACTAATTACTCCTTTCAGTGGTCGATTCTCGAACTTAGCGGGAAAAAATCAGCCATTATTGGACATGAGTTCCTTCAAGGTTGCAGATACACTTTGCTGACCTAGGTCCAAAGTTTTCTGCCGATTACCTCCAACCATCTGATATTATCTGGTGTGTGGGGGGGGGTTGTTAGACAGTTTTATCGGTTACTTTGCGTTTACAAAATGTGAGCCTTTTTAAGTTTAAATGCCTACTTACTATTTTTGTTGTTGTTGTTGATGTAGCTACCCAAGTTCTCAACACGGTTCAGGTGTGGAAGAATTGCGTGGTAGCTTATTACGGAGTATTAAATCAAGTTTATCAGTTCGTAATCATAGTGAAATATTAGTACAAGACATATAAGCGAACAATATTGTTGTTTTCAGTTAGGTCTTCAGGTTTTAACTGACTGACTGACTGCCTTCAACGTAGAACTTTGCACCGATGTGCAGTAGTTCGAATTGCCACTCTCCCTCCGTGTAGTACACGAAGCAAGAGAAAGGAGTAAATAGAGGTTCAAAAGAGAGAGAGATAATAAACAGAAATGTGAGGCGAAAAAAAATAGTAATTTGGAAGAGCAATATAGTTTTATTAGATATAATAGGTCACAAGGAGTGAATGCATCTGTGCACCAGCCACTGAGAACAATGAGTTTGAGTCATATCACCAATTGTCTCCAGTCTTCATTCGTTCTTAAAATCTCGAGGATCTCAATCAGCTAGCCAGTCTACACCTCCTTATGTGTGTGTATGTGTGTGTGTGTGTGGCTTAAACCAACTGTTATGGATTTCATTGACTGATGAAGAGCCATGTTTTCGTTTGACCACCATTAGCTAGCTCTTTTCCAATCTGATCCTTCTCATGTCAATCAGCTAATATTGCCCATCGTCGAGGAAGGCAATCGATGGTTAGGCATACATGTGTAACACATTTCCTAACCCTCTCAATCGACGTAACTTCAGTACCTCGTCGACTTACTTCCCCTCCTTACATAGCACTTACTTAACGCCTAACCTCAATAATACCCACCCTATCTTGCTTCCTAACACAGGAGTTAGGCCGGAGACACCTATGATGAAAGACAGCTAACCGGCCTTTTCATGTTTTTGACTTTCAATGGTGGCCGTGTCTCACTAACGTCGATTATGGAGGATGGAGCGAATTGCTGCTGTTCAGTACAGATGTCCTTTGATCGACATTCATTTGGTTATCACGTCTACTAAGCCAATGCTTGATGATTGTGTTATCGAGTCGATTATTCCCTGGCCCTGGAACTAGTAAATTCCAGTAAACCTTGAAAATGTGTATTTCCATAATACGTGAGCGAGAGAAAAAAGCGACCAAAAGTACAAAACTACTAAATGGTTGAAGGCAATCACCAGGAAGCCTAATCCGACTTAGGTTTGATGCTAGTAATTGGCACTTTCACCAGTCAGAAAGGCGTATCTGCAACCATGGAGGAATACATTTCCATTCTGAGAATCGAAGTGGCATCACCCAGTGAGTGCTGCAGTGGTCTGAGACGTTACCACTGAGTTATTCAAATTGGCGATTGACCTCCTGTAGGAGTCTATTGGATACTTTCATCGGAGACTAGTTAATAACTAGTACAATGTCTCTAGTCCTTTGTTTGGTGCAGAGTAGTTACTGATTACTGTCCAATCAAATTGCAGAAATATATAGCATATATTGATCCAGTCATAAGGCTGGATTCTGATTGCTTGACGTCCATCATGTGATTTGTTTATATGTGACTAACAGACTAATGAGATAAATTGTGGGTACATATACTAGATGATGAGCAATAAATGGTACCCTAGAAACGTCATCGAGTGGTTAATACTATATCGCTGTGTGTTATATCAAAATGAACTTATCTGATATATCTGTGTGGAGGTCAACATCACTCAGCAGTCAGCATGGAAAACAAGATCCGGATTTTCAACTCCAATGTGAAGTCAATCAGTGCTACTTACTATACGAGTCAGAGACTTGACGCCGCGTCGCGTCACGAAGGCCTTTTCGGATAAACTACACATCTTCATCAACAGCTAGCTGTTTTCGCTCAATACTACTCAAGATCAGATGGCCAACAACAGGGATCTCTGGGAGCGAACCAACCAGGAACCGATTGTACAACAAATATGCAGAAAGAAATGGAGGTGGGTTGGTTGGTCATACTCTGAGAAAACAAACCATCAAGTGAGTGACATCACATGCCAGGCCGTTGCTCTAGTGGAACCCAAATGGGAAGTTGAGAGTTGGTTGTCAGTGCGTGGTTGACGTGGGGGAGAAGGAGTTGATGTGAAGATGTGATAAAAGCATGTGACAGACATGGAACCAGGTGATGAAAACGTTAGCGGAGAACTTAACGCAATGAAGACGTGTGGCTGAAGCCCTATATTCTTCTAGCTACAAAAGGAAACAATAATATAATAATAAGTAGCACAAGAAAAGACCTAAATGATGAAATAAAACAGATAGAATAGGCGTTGATGTTAAATAACTAACTATCTATAAAATTCATTAGGAATATGAGAAAAGGTTAAGAGTAAAATAAAATAATTGTGAAACTAGTTATGATAACATAAATAAGAGAGAATATAAGGCATCTACAATGGTTTTACCAAATAAGAAGGGGATATCTAAGACCCTACGTGGTAGGATTCTGAATAAAGCATGAATTAGGGTGGCATTCAAACCTACAAACTCACTCAGGAAGGACAAGCTCTGTAGACTCAAAGACTCAGTGGGTTGACCCAATTAAACAAAATAATGTAATTTATAAAATGCCGTGCAATGACTATGAGTTAAGTCAACTACATAGGTCAAACTAATAGATCGGATGTAATCAGATTGTTGGAGCATAAGAATTTAATGGCTAAGGTGAGAATGGTTGACCCTACCCGAGAAGATAAATAATTTAGAAAAAAGCTCACCACTACATAGCACTGCATGCATCAATATAAAACCACACAGTACGGTGGGAGAGGGTTAATATTCTAAAAAGTAATCTAGGTAGGTGGAGAAAAAGATTGATTATTGAATCCTGACTGGTTCATCGAGTCTACACACAACACAACACATGCAACAGAAATGACTCAATGTAAATACCCGAGATATGCATGGAAGATATTATATCACCAGTCAGTCAAATCATAGGAGGATAATAAATAATCTCAAAATTCTATTTCAATTCAATTCATGTACATCATAACATTCTAACAAATTGCTTGTTATGACTATAAAAATACTCGTCACATTTCCCATATGATTGCATTCGATCAATAACACTCATATTAATATTTCTGAATGTACATTATCCCATATTGATTTTTGTTCAAATGTCTAATCATCAATTTCACTCATGTATATAAATGAAGGAAAAAAGTTGTGTGAGTGAGTGACTTGATATAATTGTGAGTGGCAATAGTGGCGAAGTTAAACTTTCGACACCACTAACTACCAATCAGCGAATTATCCAATGAGATTCACGAACGATGTCGAATTATTCAATGAGGTTCACGAACGCAGTTCAATTTGTATAGCGCTTGATTCATTTCTAATGCGTGACCCTACAAGGCTATTGTTGCAATTCGAGGAGGTTAGTGTTTCCCAGTATTTCCTAGATTTGAGTTGCCCGAAAGAGCGAATTTGATTGTGTGGTGGTATCATGACTTTAAAAAGCTAAACCAAATCAACTGATGGGTTTGTTCATCGTTGTGCTATATGTTTGAAGCCTACTGACACTAGAGAGGGTATGCTGATAATTTTATTATCTCGTAGGAACTTTTTTCGCTAGGTCGCTTTCTCCCTAAGGATAGCAGATAGAAAAGCAACTACTTTTATGCCTATTGTTACTAGAATTGTTAAGCGGGGGTCAATTATACGCACGGAAAAGCTACAATTCGCTGTCATCTCTGGGATATATTCATCATAGAGACAACCATTCAAGTGATTTTGTGGATCCCGTTACCAGGACACATACAAATTCTAATGAAGGATTTTGGGGCAGGTTGGAAAATAGGATAAGGGCTATAATTGTATCGCAAAAGGATCTCATTTATAGTCATTTGGATGAATATATGTACAGGATATGGTGTAACTTCTCCATTGACAGTCCCATGCTAAACTGGGAGATTTTTCTCTCACATGTTCGAGAAAGATATCCCATGTAACTTTTTTATTCTCTATTTTATGCTTTTTTCTACAAATATACATTTCCACTCATCATATATGCCTCTTTAATGTGATTGATCCGTTCGAGGTCGTTTGCTGATTGGTTGTTAGTGGTGTCTA